CCATTTGATCATGGATCCCGTTTATTAATTTCTAATACTAACCACTAAACCAATTACAAAAAAAATTAAGTTGGTTAATCATATAACAGAGAACCAAATTTAGCTCTAAATAGAGACCATAGAGAAGAAATAAATGTTGTATTTAGTTTAATTCGATGCAACAGTAAATCTCTCTATGATCAAACAGCCAGAGAGCCTAATACATGAACTCAGGCTGCTTCCATCCACCAAAGCTCTCCTCTTCTGCCTCATAACCCCCATCACAATTCAGTGATGGTGGTAACACAACTTCATTAACAGAGTTTCATAGAAATATTGCTAGATAAATCGAAAACAAATATAAAACTCACGTAGCTTCTCCTACAAAATCATCTGGGAGCCAGAAGATACTTGTCCATTATTTTCAATTTGACTTCAATAACACCTTCACTGATGCTGAATACAAACGTCTCGTTCCACTGTGGATCAGACCCTTGTCCTGCAAAGAATTATGATATACATATCCGTGTACATGATTAGTTCCTCTGGAAGTAAGAAACATGAAATCTATAAGATTTATATATGTTTTTGAGAAACACAACTGATGCAACACTGCTTTTCTGTTCCTGATTGCGGCAAGTGAGTATCACGTAAGGATCCACTTTAACTGTTCATGCCTGTCAACATTCAAATTTCCTGTAAGCATATCAAGTGAAACATTTAAAAGAAAATGATCTATAATCTACAACATTTTCTTGATGAAGCCAATCTAAAATGTTGTAAAATGTACTTAAGCCGTTGAACAATTTGGACTGATTCAAATACAAACAATTTTTTCTTTCCTTTTTTTTTTTGGGTATATCAACCAGCTTAGTAATACAGGGGATTGAATTTCTAATTTTAACTTTAAATTACGATTTTCAAAATTACTGAATACTAATTCAAACAAGTTCATATTGATTTACATACAAACAGTAATGAAAGAATGATTCTACAGCTTAAATTCTGATTCAATAAAGAAATCT